CGGCGAAGGGGCCAAGGAGCTGGGTGAAGCGACCGCGGGCCAAAATGCCCCCTGCAGCTCCTCCAGCGCCGAGTCCCCCAGCCATTTGCTTGGCCCAGGTATCAACAAAAACGAGGTGAAATATCTCCCGCCAGCCTCCATCCCACCGCCTCAGCCGCTGCCCTTCGGATTCCCCTACACCATGAGCCCGTACTTCCACGCAGGTGAGTGCGTGGGGCCTGTCGCCGAGTTACTGCCCGGAGCAGCGACACGTTGTGCGGTGTGCGAGAAGGGGGACTGTTCCCCCTCCCTGTTCTGCGGTGGGGTGGTAGTTCTTTTTTCTCTGCGGGGAGCCGAGCACCTTCTTTTAATTAGTATAAAGGACTCCATTTGCAATGAAGCGTTAGATTGGACATTAGGAAAAATGTCTTTACTGTAAGAGTGGTCAGGTGTTGGGCCAGGCTGCCCAGGGCAGTGGTGGAGTCCCCATCCCTGGAGGGGGTCAAATAACGTGTGGATATGGCACTTTGAGACATGATTTAGCAGGCATGGTGGGGATGGGTGGACAGTTGGACTTGATGATCTTAGAGGTCTTTTCCAACCTTAGTGATTCTGTGAAGCAAATCAAGGGTCATAAAGAGGGACAGCAGGGACAAAGCAAGTCCCAAGCACATGAGAAGGGAGATCCCCAGATGATGGACTAGCTAAGGGATCTTGCAATTGCTTGGGCCTTCTTGGGAAGCCGTGTTTCCGGACAGACGTCAGTAAGCTGTAGAGGGCTTCAGGGAGAGGCAACAAAAATTAATGGCTGCGAGGTGCTGCCCTACAAAGCAAAGGACCAGAAGTGTTGTGTCAGGACGGGTGGCCTGAAAGACCGTGAAGGTTGCTGGGATGTGCTGATGTGATTTTCAGGTGGTGGGAACTGGAGGGGCCAGGTTGGAGAGAAACACCCAGATTCCAGCAGGACAGAGGAGCGGAAGGAGAACTCCCCAGGGTGGCTTGGATCTGCCCTGCGTGGGCAGGGGCTGTTCTGCGGGGAGAGGTGCGGGTGGCACGGGCGACGTGCAGGGCTGGAGGGCGGCTGGCTGGTTCCCACGCGCTCTGTTCTCCCTCTGCGCATGGCCACGGTTAAGGGAGAGGGATATGAAAGATCACAGAATCACAGCATGGTGGGGGTTGGCAGGGACCTCTGTGG